GGGGGGGGGTGAGGGTGGAGGAAGAGGAATTGCGAATTGAACATTGACTATGAACCAATCCTCGGAAGTTTGATACCTATCTTTGTTCCGGGATCCCGTATCCATCCAAGTCATTCACTTTCACTAGCTGAATTGGCAATCGTAATTCATGGATCACGTCCCATCCGTTTTCGGACTTTTTTACCAATTGCTCCAAATCAACCATAAACATTGTGGATAGGGAGTTATTGATTGAGACCATCATCGCATTCGGTACGGGCACGTGTCGCATAAACGCATATTGATCAGCTAGTGTGTGACACGGTACTCTGGCCACCTGTGACCCACCTTCCAAGATGTGAGAATAACCGAAAGTGACGCAACTACTGTGTTCCCGATATAAGGAACGCAAGTAGACAGGGACATTTGACGGAGTTGGATACCATTGTTTGCCAAATGGTCGATAAATCAGGGGGAAAATTACCGAGTTCGGTATGCACACACCTCGACTAAGTCTCCATGTGGACTCACAGGTATGTGTAGGCCCGACTTGATAATAACCTATATCCATGAATGGCCAAGCCCAAGGTTTATCCGCTGTGTATCGACTGTACTCAAGATCCAAGTGGCTTTGTGAACTATTGATCGGTTTGGTGAACAGTTTGTCTCGTTCGACCATTTCATACCATTGATAGTCCGGTTCGAGTGTTTTCAAAAGTCGCTGTATTTCCGGCCGTAGCTCTGCATCTGCCAACACATCGACATCATCATCCCACGGAATGAAATCGTGAAAATGATAGGAGCCCACGAGGGTTCCACCCTGAAGCCAGAATCTATCCCCATAACCATGCTCGAACATGAGATCGGAGAAAACCTGCAATAGACGCCGAGAAACCGCCATCTGACCTTTGCTCATGACCGGTTTAAACGGTTCACGCATTTCCGGTTGGAGTCCTTCGGTCAGATTGATTCGATCGGCCGGTCTCGGAGCTACCACCTCCTCCGGCCAAACCAGTTCAGATAGGTTGGGAAGCGTCTGTTGCTCCACGGTTTTATGTGGCTTGACTAGGAACGGATCCAATTGAAATGGTTGTTCAAAACCATCTGGTAACTGACGAGCACATCGGAATGTGTTTGGATGATCAAACGTACCGATATAACGAATTTCGGCATCCAATTCTAGTCTGCCCACCTGTTCGATGGCAATGCCGAGCAAGAACGCCAGACTGACTGTCAAGGTGATTTTCGTTGCAGCTAAGGCATGCCAAACAGCTTGAAACTTCATCTACAGTAAAAGATAGAGGAGAGAGAAAAGCAGTCAAAAGACGAATTTCAAATCACAAAATAAGCCCATAATCGTAATCAGAACACCGGTCGTAGACGAACATATATTTTTGGTGAGTTCCTTATCAAGCCAGTAAGTACAATTGGAGTTATCTCCAGTTCCATTGTTGCACACTTGGTCGAAACCGGACACAAGATGAGTGCTAAATCGGATTTCACCATCATTTATCACATCCCACAAATCCACAAATTCAAGTCTGTTTTGAATTCGAACGCTGGCAACAGCCGAGGCAATAATCATCATCCGTTTGTTGAAACCAGAATTTTGTGCTCAAAAAATACTTTTTTTTCTTTTTCTGAATACACAATGATACAAATTTCACGAGGGGGGGGGGGGAAGCGGCCAATCAAAGGGTTGCCATTCAACACACAAATGGGGAAAGTTCATGCACTCAGACTTCCCTGGCCCATCAGGCATGAGCATTTGGATGACCTAAATCAATTATGAACGTTTACGTAACCCGTTCTTATCTGAACACGAGAATCATACCTTTTTCAGTTTAAGATGTTCGAATATCAATTTACGATGTCACAGTAGGAGTTGAAGATATCATGTTGCTATGTGGATAGTACTTTTCACAGTACTTAGTGAAAACTTTCGATGGGACCCACGTGCACCCAGACCCATGTGTGTCCTACCTGCATGCTGATCTATGGACCCGGAAAACATCGTCCCACGCTCAAGCAAAATATGCAACGACGATTATCTTGTCTGCTTGTTTGCACACACAGACTGAACAATGTAACCCACACTTCAGGCAGAGCTATGCCACCATGTGTAAACCGACGAAGGCTTGGTCAAATGCGAAACGAAAACGAGCGTTGCAGGGTTTGATGGGGTCTCTCACACGATGACCATATTTCTCACTTGACCCAGTAAACGAGCAGTTGATTGAACAGTGCTCACCATGAACTTCATGGTCTCATGAATGAGGTGATCTCGATATAAAAGGGGTGGTAGCGAACGGCGTGAAATGGGGGTTGAACGTTTGCAACCGTCGGTGCACATTTTTGTTGAGTGTGGGACGATATTCTCGGGGTCCATAGATCAGTATGCAGGTAGGACACACATGGATCTTGGTACAAATGGGTCCCATCGAAAGTTTTCACTAAGTACTGTGCAAAGTACTATCCACATAGCAACATGACATCTTAAACTGATACTCGGACTTCTTAAACTCCAAATGAGACATCTAAAATCGATATTCGGATATCTTGAAATAAAAAAGGTATAGAGACAAACACGTTCATACCCAAAACTTTTGCTATAATTATTTGACCTTGAATGTTTGACCCCAATGCAACATTTTCCCACACACTTTCTCATATAAATGTGATTGTACTGGCTTGATAAAGAACTCCCCGAAAACACATGTTCGCCTACAACATGTGTTCTAATAATCAACAGAGTTGATCATAAGAGGAAACGTGGCGTTTAGCAAAGACCGATGCACATGTTAGTGTCTTAAAATGTGGATGATATCAATTCATAGTGAGAAGAAACCTGTTTAGGTTGGTGCGACTGGGTTCGAAATACGTTACCAGTTGGGTTATTCTGTTTTGCTGAAGGACGTACGTATTATCGCAGCTAGCCTTCAGTAAGTCATAAAAATGGTTAAATAAAACGAGTCCAGCAGTTACCAAAGTCACAGTTAGACTAGCAGGGATGCTCGCAAGCCCTGGTGGATTAAATTTCAAGCGCGTACCAGGAACGAACACAATGGAGGTGTCCAAATAATAGATGTGATTTCCAACCAGGTTATTACAAATATTCAATTGCTAATAATTAAGAGAATTCATCAAGACATTTGAGTTTGTGACACATTTTCAAAAAATGTAGAGATGTGATGCCACCTTCTATTTTTCATCAGGTAACAATACAGATTTGAATAAATAACGGTTAGAGGAAGGACGCAATCACGTTTTACACGGAGTTCATCGGGATTGTGGAACTAAGCAATAAATATCGTATTGACAAGCTCTGTCTGTCAGCAGCAGGATAGGAAAGTTTAGTGGGGTCGCTGAGTTAAGTAACTTCGCAGTTTGAAAATAAAGTAGCAGGAATAAGCATATGCTTTGGTTCATTTAGGAATCAGATAAAGAAAAGATGAAGTCGAGATTTATCCTATCTTGTAATGAGAAACAATAGCCGATTTGGTGAAGCTTAACAAGTCTACAACCAACAATGGTCATTTTTTAGGTTTTATTACAACTTTTATTATTAGCAAACCGCATGGAAATTAGCACAGTTTGCTGCAAAAAGACGTTCATGGACAATCAGGTCTGTAATCTTACAAGTCACTTGGTGAAACAATGCGGGACTCGTTTTGTAGCTTAAACATTAGTACCAAGTTTATCAAACACTAATGGCCAAGGAGCCCAGCGTTTCTGGCGGTAGAGTTTTGCTCTCTTCAGTTACCTCCTCTTGTGTGATTCACTTCTCGGGGTTTCGGTTGCTCAATCCCCTAAGTGAACGGCGGGGTTCTGGTAGACACACCATCCGTTTACTCATTCTGCTGTTTATCGCACAACGGTGTGTATTAAAGTAAGGATATTAGAGCAGCACAATCAATGCTGGTTACCGGAAGACTGTTCTACCAGTATCTTTCTAATAGATCGTTCGCACTTAGCCAAAACTTGACATGTACTTCCATGGGGGAGACCAAACATAAACAAAAGAAACAAAGAGTCAGACCGTAACCCTCCCCACACCGACGAAGTTTTTGCGTATCCAAGATTGCACCAGACCAATAAATTTCGTAAATTTGTTTCAAAAGCATCCCACATTGTTGCCACGGAATGTTACGCGAACGTACTACATGCCATGAACCACTATCGTGCCTGATATCTAGCTTTATCGATTAACAAAACAGTACGGCAGATCAATGCGAATGCAGGACCAAAAATAATAAAATACCACGGGGGAAGAAACAGAGAACACCATAATATCCAAATAGACTAAAGTCATATATACCACATCTGGTGCATTTCATAACGGGCGCTGAATAAAATTCACAGTCCTCTGTGCTGAACAATGATAGATGACTTATGCTTTCCATAGAGTATCAGGCGCCATTTATTGCAACGCCGTACAATACCCCTGTAGTTAAGACGCTGTTTGTGTGACGCATTGCAAATTACCATGCCTATGTTGTGGATCACCTGGCCTTCAGTTCCACATCAGTTAATTGCATGCGCCAGCAAATTGCCATGTCACATCAGACGACTATAGTCATGTGTGTTTCCAGGCTGTTTATCAATAATAATGACCACACGTCAATATGCGTGTGTGTGTGTGTGTGTGTGTGTGCGTGCATAATTTCATTGCGAACAGAAGAGTTTCGCTCGCTCGCTCGTTCGTTCGTTCGCGCACTCCTTTTCATCTTCTGTAAGAAAGACGCATATAATTTGATTCCATGAATGCTAATGTTATTCTATAGAACGATAGCAAATCATGGCCTCAGGGGCAGAAAGCAAAACGGAGAAATTTGTGTGTAACAGAAATCGGGGCGAACAACCGTGAAGTGCCCGAATTTATTCATCATTCTCCCCTCTATTCCGTGCCGAGCTTCAAAACAACCGGGTTTGGTGCGAGCGAGCGCTTGTGCCGCAGTGTGCGGGGGGGGGGCTTGAGGGTGTGAAACAACACATACAAGGGAAACCAAACATGTTATCTCCACCATAAAAAAAATGGATTAGAAGAATCGATGGCTCTATTTTGTCCAGTTTTCCCATCAGAAAAGTAAAATCACTTCTTAGTTTCCTACTAAGTGAAAATTGTTTTGACTGATCCTCAACTGTGGGGGGGGAGCAATAAGCAAGCATTAATATATATCAGTAGATTCATCGATCAATCTGCGAACGGATCGTTTTTTAGTATAGTAAAATGATTCTGTTAAGCGTTGGCCAACTGTCACAGCCCCGTGCATCATTTCAGTACTCGAGTTGTATCATCATGGTCCACTAAAATCATCTGACATTTGGGTGGTCCAAGTCTGCAAATCGCATTCGGGGACGTAAGCTTTAAAACCAGATCGGTCCTCGAAGCTCGGGTGCACTGAATTCCATTTCGCCAGTTCGCCGATCTTCACCCTGACGATCAAACCTCGGCTGGTGATGAAACGGTTGCAGACGAGTCGCCAACCTCGGCGACCAGGTGAAATGGAAAACGCATACACAAAACATTTATCACCATCAACTCAGAAACTGAACTCATGTACTTTAAACCATGTCACAGAAAACGGGGATGAAATGTATCGGAAATTCAGTTGTTTTCACACAAAATACCCGAAACGTTTCGATCTGGTTATGAATTTGAACAGGCAAGTTAGAAGACAAACACTGCACGAATGGAATTCCTTTCGTATACTCTCATCGGTCGCGTACATATGATATTGAACAGGATAGACGAATGAAGTGAATTAACAAATCTAGTTAGTGTTAACAATATGTGTGTTTGTAACCAATCATACACGCACATGCACACGGTTAATACTAACTGGATTTCTTAATTCACTTCATTTGTCTATCCTGTCCAATGTCATATGTACGCCACCGATGAGAGTATACGAAAGGAATTCCATTCACGCAGTGTTTGTCTTCTGACTTGCCTGTTCAAAAAATTACCATCTCATCCAGTGGGAATCACAATGACAGACAAATCGAATGCCTTACTTTATCCCCCGATCCTGTCACGTCGATGCGTTGTGCACAAATGGTTGGATATACCGGTCGAATTGTTACTCGTTCGATCATTATACGTTTTAGCTTTCACGCTGTTTACATGCTCCAAAATGTTTGATTTAAACAGACGCGTTTAAATCAAGCGCATCCACCCACCCAACCACCCACGCATGCGCGCAAGCACACACACACCGGTGTATGGCACGAGATTGAACCAACCAAAAAGAGCACCACCACACAGGCATAGGCACAGATTAG